ACTCCCGATATATCACTTGACACCACCATCACAACATGAGTTTGACACGCCTGCTCCAGAGAGCTATATGATCCCTACCCTTGCCTTAGCCTAGCTTTCTCCAACCTTTGGATATGTGGCAGTGCATTTCTAAAATCATTAGTAATTACCTTGCTGGTTGACAAATTTTGCGAGTTAAAATCTGCATATCTGTAGGATACCCAGTTTGGGGACAGCTGCCCTAGACAATAGACACAGAAATGACAAGGTAATCCTGACTTCCGGTTTGTGTTTCTTCGGCGACGGACCGAAATCCGCAATTGTGTGCGGTTTCGATTGTGCTCATCGCCAGAGTGCCCTGAGCCGGCTGGATTTGGGGCAAAGCCACCCTGTAGTGGTGAAGAGAGGGGAGACTGCCAGTAGGGTTGAGGAGAGTTGCATCTCTCTCCTCGGTTGGCCATTACTCCCTTTCCTGAAGGCAGTTGCAGCAGTGGTCAGAAATGGCCACCTCAAAGAAGAACCCAACCGGAAAAGATTGTGCAGGAGGAGGAAGATAAGAAGAGAAAGTTTTGACTGACCAGGTTGAACTGAAAAAGCAACAACATAAGGTACCCTGGAATTTGAACTACAAAGAATAACTTGTTCCCAAAGAAGATTTTTGAAGTGACGAAGGAGAGAGGGAAGGGGAAAGATTTTGTTTTGTTTTTCTTTCCTTCCCCATATTGACAGCTAAGAGACTTAAGTAAGAAATTGATAAAAATGCACTTTGACATTAATAGGCATTTAAGCTGAAAATAAAATGTCAAAGGGATAATAAAGATTTTTGGATATTTAAAGACTTTTAAAAGAAGGAAAGGAGAGAAAAGGAAAAAATAAAAGGGTGGGATCTGGAAAAATGGAGGAGAGCGCCTGGAAGTAAAAGGAATTAACAGTGAAACTTTCACAAGATTCCTAAAAGATACATTTTAACTGAAACTTTGTAACAAGATAAATAGAACCCCAGGAAGAGAAAGTGGAAAAAAGAAGCAAGAATAAACAGCTTTGGATTATTTGGATTATTTTGTGATTTTTGGATTTTGGGTTATTAGATTTAAAGGACTAAAATCAATCAGGTGGTTGTTTAAAAATGTTTAAAATGGCATCACTCTTGGAAGAACTGAAAATGGAACTTAAAAAATAGAAAGAAGATGCACAAGAAGGAAGAGGGTTTTTTTAGCTTTGTATTTCAATTCTTAGAAATGGAGATCCTGAACTATGAGAAACAACAAGAAATGCTTCCAGAACAAGAAGGGCGGGACAAAGAAGAAGCTATCTTTAATGACCAAGTAATTCTATGTGGGGGGAGGAGGAAAGGGGGGGAAAGAGAGTGAAAAAGTTAAGATCTGAAAAAACAACCAAAAAAAAAAGAATAGTTTGAAAAGCAATTACAACATTAGGAAAAAACAGAAGAGGGGATTACAGAAGAGATAGTTAGAATTAGAGAGACAAGGGGTCAAAAGGGGGAGGGAGAAGAGGGGGATGAAGGAAAGGAAAAGAAGTTATAAAGGACAGAAACAGGAGATAGAGAAACAGGGAAAACGTATAAGAATTAAAGGTATAAGCCTATTTAGAAGACATAGAGACAATGCGTGAAAATTTAATTGAAAGAGAGGATTCTGCAAGGGTACAAAAGATAGCATTGTTATATTAGAAATAGAAATGAATATAGAAAATATGAAACAAGTGTGATTAAAGTGATAGATAAAATACTTATTGTAATGTAATGAAATGTTTGTTAATAAATAAATGAAATAAAGAGAATGAATGAAATTAGGAAAGGATGGGAACATTTTAATTGTTATTAAGAATTTATAAAAAATTAAGTGAAGAGAAATATGAAAGAAATATGAAAAAATGGAAATATTATAAGTGTTGCTAAGGAACTATTCTATTTAATTAAAAAGAAATGTTAAAGATTAATGGAAGATTATAATTAACATTAATGATAGAGCTGAATTGGAATCAAATAAGTATTTTATTTATTGTTGTTATATATATTTTTTCTCTTTAAGAACTCGGTGCATGTTTTAAGAATGTACCAAGCAGAATTCGATTGGCAAAATTTATGTGTTATAAAATAGAGGTTAGATACTGAATGTTATAATTGTAAAGGTATAAATTGAAGTTTAAATAAGATTTGAATGGATAAAAACTAAAAGATACAAAGGTGTCACACTCCAATCAGTAACTACAGGGGAAAATTGGTTTAATGAGAAAAGATAATATGAAATTGAAACAGGACAGACAGAAATATAAATATGATCTGAAAGATATCGAAACTTAGAAAAAGATATATAATTGAATTTAGAAAGGAATGAGACAACTAAAAACAAGGCTGAGAAAACTAAGGGAAGGGAAAAACCACTGAGAAAATGCTAAAATGGAATAGAATACAAAGATGAATATGAAATTGAGTTTGTGTCTGTATGGAGAAGTGATAATCCGGGGTCATGCTATTCTCAAAAAAAAAATATTTTATTTGTATTATATTTTGTGAAAACCCAAATAAAAATGTTTACAAAAAAAAAAAAGAAATTACAAGGTAATCCTGATCCAAAGATTAAAGGCAAAGGATCCTATTTTTACTTTTTGTTTAAAATTAGACACTTCCAAACCACTGAATTTTGAGTCCCAATGCTCTCACTAGATAGTTTGGAACCAGCCTGGAATCATTTTCAGATGTGTTTATTTCAAACTGCAAAAAACAGGCAGGGAACACCATGAGCCAACCTGTGTTTTTCCTTCAGAAGACAAATAGAACAACAACAACAACGCTCTGCAAATAGCCTGACCAATTGCACAACCAGATCCTGGGCTTTGGAAGTTGCCCAATTCATTTCCCATTAACCTAGGTGCTTGTTTGATTTAAATTATGCAAGTTCAGAGGCATGAATTTGGAAGTAGTAAAGCTTCACCCGCATCAAGAAGTTTACAAAATAATTACATATCCCAGGGCATCCATTCTTTTCTCTATTTCCTCTGTTCTTTAATAAAGATAATATTTCCCTCCCCATTCTCCATTCCTGGCAAAAGATATTTCAGAATTTTTCAAAAGTGGCAAAGTTGTAATGGTTGGAGGTCACATTTAATGTATATGTGCAGCTGCATACACACACAAACATGACAATGGACAAAATCGGTGAGTAAACAGTCAGTACCAGCATTTTTCAAGATGGGATCTCTGGGTATCAGGAGAATTTGGAACTTCTTTGTTTTGTTTAAATTATGCAAAGTCTATTTTAGAGGGTTTATTCTGTATTTTTCAGCATCACCCAGCTCAAAATGGCAGCAACTGCAGTAACAGTCAACTCTATCTAAGCTTACAAAAGGGCTCAGGACAGGCTGTGTTTACGAGTCCTAGGCTGTTCACTTTTAAAAGATTTCAGAAACAGATATGCTTAGGCCAGGGCTTCTTTTTATAAACCACCTTCACTACATAGCGAGGGAGTCATAATAGCCCAAGTGTCTGCACAGAAAAGGAAGTTGCTGTTTGCGTACTGTAGAAAGAAGTGGGTAAAAAACTAAAAGGTCCTTTCCAAAACAAAGCTATTTTGACATAAATCTTGGCTATCTTTCAAGCCAAGCCCACAAACTTGTCTGAATTCAGCATAAGCCGTCAAGAAGAATATGACATTTGAAGCCCAGGATCCGTCTGTGTGTGGTGGCTCTTGATGCACTGACTCCAGCCTCAGTCCACTCCTTGTGAAAGTCCCCAACACTTTTGAATGGCCTTTTCCTGACACTCCTCTACAGGCTGAGGTCATCCCTGCTGCTTGTGCACCTTTGTCTTCCACACTTTTCCCTTCCACATAACTTTCTATTAATGTGCTTTGATACAGCAACTTCATTTGCAATTACCTTTTGAGGCTTTCCCTCCTTATGGAGAGTGTCAGTGATGGTTTTCTGCACAACTGCCAGGTCAGCAGTCTTTCCCATGATTGTGATTCCTACTGAACCAGACTGAGAGACCATTTTAAGGCCCAGGAACCCTTTGCAGGTATTATGGCTTAATTAGCTGATTAGAGTGGGACACTTTGAGCCTAGAATATTGAACCTTTTCACAATATTCTAATTTTCTGAGATTGTGGATTTGGGATTTTCATGAGCTGTAAACCATCATCATCTCAATTATGACACATCACGGCTTGAACTATCTTGCTTTGCATGTAATGAGTCTATCTCATATATTAGTTTCACCTTTTAAGTTGCATTACTGAAATAAATGAACTTTTGCACAATATTCTAATTTTTCAAGTTTCACCTGTAGATACAGATAGATAGGTAGGTGTAGATATATATAGACATAGATTAGACAAGAGGATAATCCTACTGGTGGGGAAATAAAGTGAGGAAGAAAAACAAAAACAAGACAGGAGTTTTTTGCTCCATAGAAAAGGCCCTGGCTCAGAAAATATTTGGTCCAATTCTGAACGAACAAACTTATTGCTTGAATCCTGGAGGGTTCTGCTTTCCGGGATGGAAGAGGGTGCTTTCTGTATGAAATAGCAGAGACCGAAAGCAATCACAGACGATTTTATTGCATCAGCGATCAATCCTTTGGATTGGTTCACCTTTTCGTCATTGATACTATCATGAGGACGCCGGGCAGCAGATCGCTTATAAATGTAAAACCTTTGGACGGATTCAAAACAAAACAAAACGTGACGAGCAAGCCTCTTTTCCTCCCTTTGGAGAAAGGGAACGCGAGGGGGGGGGGACTTTTTTCCTTGGTTATACATTGTGGTTCCATTCCAATACAAAACCAGCCCTGCGGTTTGATTTCACCCCAAAAGCCGCATCGGGGACCGCATCCCACGGCTCGGACTTGTTTCTTCCCTTTTACTGAGCCTCATTTCCCCCGCCACCCCCCGCCTGTTGAGACGGCGGCGCCCGGAGCCGCGGCCTCTAGGAGGCAGCGTGCTTATTTTCCCCCGCTTCGCCGCTTCTGGAGCCAGTGGGAGGAGCTACTTGGCTAGTGGGCCAGGGACAAGAAGGAGGGTGTCTGCAACCCCAAGCAAGGGAGGGGAAATCACGGGAAGAGAGAAGGGGTGGCTTGGTTGTCTGAAGAGGGGGGTAAAATATCTCGCCGACCTCGCAGCGACAAGACGCGCAGCTCCTCCTTTCCAAAACAAGAGGCCAAATCCTCGCCGCAGCGATGGGAGTGGAAGGTTGTACCAAGTGCATCAAATATCTGCTGTTTGTCTTCAATTTTGTCTTCTGGGTGAGTGGCGTCTTCCTGGGCCTTCGCTTGCTCCGTCCCGGGTTGGAAGAGGAGGAGGGGGGGGGGAAATCTCTCCGCGATTCATGTCGTGTGAGCTGGTGGCTTTTTTTCCTCGCACCAGCAAAACAAAGAAGCGGGCTCCGAGAGGACCCCTGCCCTGGTGCACGAGGAAGTCTGGCCGGGCGAGCCTTTTTCTCCCGGTTTGTTGCGGGGTTGGAGGGATGGCCGCCTCATCCAGGAAGCAAGGCGCGTTTAACCTGGAAAAGCAATCCTCTGCATCGACCGAAAAGGGACTTGGCGTGGAGAGAGAGAGAGAGAGCAAGAGCTCAGGACCCGGGTTTGCCCGAAAGCAATCTGGATATGGGGTGGATGAGTAGGAAAATCGAGAGTCGAACGGGCACCGATTCGGAAAAAAAAACACAAAAAAAACCCCCAAAACCGGTTTTCAAACCTCTTCTTTCTTACGTCTCCCCCTTAACCTGTTGGGTGTTTTTTTTAGCATACAAAGTAGAGAAGCCTCATTTGGCTTTGATGATGCCGTGTGAATGTTTCGTGCAACCGTGACTTGTAGCGTCTTGAAACTTCTACTTAGCCAACTTCTATGTTATTCTTGGTGCTAACTCCCAGCCGAATGCAGATCTGTAATAAGAGACTCTTGTAAGAGCTTTGTTGCGTGGAGCAGATTTGAATCTCCCAAGAGACTTCTTGTCCCTTGTGCCAACTCCGCTCTATAAATCTAGTGGAAAGCATGAGTTTCCTATTCGTTAAACGGCTTTTTTTTTTTAAGGGAGCTTTTATCCCGTAGATTTTGGGGTGGTGGTTTTGGAAAGCTATCTAAATAGGAATGTCTAAGGGGATTTGGTTTTTGTTTTTTTCAAAGTAACATGTCCGAGGAAAAAAAATCTAGCATTTTGCTTCTTTCTATTATTTAATGAATTGTGGAAATTATTTGCATATATCGGCATGAAAATTGAAGTGATTGGGAAGAAGAGTGTTTGTGTCTAGAAAAGAAGAAATTGAATATTCATGTGACCGTTGGTTTAAAATGGATGACTTACAGCATTTTTTTAGACTGCCTTTCATGATCTCATCTTTCCTCCTTGGTTGTTGCACCAACCACACCCCGAATCTCAGAAGGTCTTGAGTTTTTCCAAGTTCCCCTGGTTTCCAGTAGAAAAGAAATTCAGGCCTTCACAGATTATGTAAAATTCATATGGAGAGGAAATTAAGTTTTCACCTTCAGATTTTGACGCTTGCTCTTGGATAAAAATAAAAATTTGTAGCAACGTAGTGTGAAAATGTCTATAATAATTGCTTTCAAATGCTAGCAATGTTGAGTACTTGTTGAGGAAGAGGGCTAAGATATCTGTATATGCTAAATGCTCCTCTGAAACTGTCCCAGCTAAACCATTTCAATGAGAATCTATATAGAAATGTTTTACAGGCCATCAACCCAGTAAGGGTTTAAAAGTAAATAGCAAGATGTCTGTTTCTTGAATTTTCTCTATAAACAGAAATGTCCATGTAAATATATATACAATGCTAAAACTTATTCATAGGAATTCTTATAGACATATTTGGAAACTCATAAACAGTCTTAAAAAACAATTAGTGTGTATTTTCTTTTATTCTATTCATGCTAGAATTACCCTTTTTCCAAGCTGCGTCACTTTGTGATGCTCTTTAAATCTGTGTCCTGTACTCTTCATTAAACTATGGAAAAAGAAAGGGATTAAGAAGAGGTAGTAAATTACAACTAAATTCATATATTACATTCGTGCCAGTGTGATTATCACTTTTTGAATAAGTAAACCATACGTTTATGTGTTGTGGTATCCTTGTACACCAACAAGAGTCACTATTGTGAGGTAGCCTTATAAAATAAATTTGTAGTTTATAAACGAATGGTGGCTGGTTTCATACATAGCCCTATTTCCCAAATCAAACACCCAGTGTTTTAACTTAATACAAGATATAAACACTTGAACAGCTTTCCCCAATCATTTTTTTCAACGAATGGGATTCATAGAATTCCCAGGATTCTGTGAAAAGAGCTGGACAATTTGCAGACATCTGGTTTGGAGTCTCTGGGAGTTCTTTATAAACAACTTATAAACAGCTGGGTCAATCAAAATTATTTCGTAAGATGTATCTATTGTATGTTTTTGTATGTATAAATAAGCATACATATACATGCACATTCACCTACAGGAGCAATGAGCACTTCATTGGAAGACCTAGAAGCCCAAGTAGGGACAGCTCACCATGGAGAATATCTGTGTGGTCTATAAGAGTCGCCAAGAACTTGATGACAGAATACATATATATCATATATTTAATATGCTTGAAAAAAACTTAAGCTTGAAATTTCATTGTTATTTTTTTTATGATTTGTTACATAAAGACTGGCTAGAGTACATTCATGTACTCTTGGTATACTTAATCTGTTCCTAGAATCTTAAATTTGAAGACAAAAGGTGAGTGTGGAGAAAGGCTCTCAGATCAGTCTTCATGGATGCACCAGCTGCAGTTCATTAATTACCCGTTAGCTTCACTCAAGGAGGCTAACTGTGACAATGTTATAGGACTCTGTTTTTCAGACTCAAAATTCAGTTTGAATTTGGGATTCTGGGAAATATAAGGGTCCTGGCTTAAAAGGATTCTGATCAAGTACCAGAAAAGAGTTGAAGGACAGAAAAAGGGATAGTTGCAAATGAAGTTATAGTTATTATTATAATAGACATTGAACAGATGGAGAGAGAATTATGAATAAATATGCATAAGAGATTTGCAATATGTTGAAAACTGGGGAATAAGTCCCTGAATGTATTCCAAAAAAATTGAATTGACTAAAGCAAAATGGATAAAATTACTATAATCTCATATCATTCTGTTCTTCCTCCCAAAATAGGGAAGGGGAGAAAAAAAAAATAACATCTGCATCTCTCCCCACTTTCTCCTTATCTATATCTTTAGGTAGTGTTTGATAGTATGTTGACATAATATTTATAAAGTAAAATGGTAAAAGCTGAAAAAGCTGAAACAAGAAAGCTATGTAAGAATTATTGTGCAATTAATCAGTTCAGATTTTTCTTCTGTTGTGTTACCAAACATTTGTTTTCTGCTTCTTGTGATGATTTCTTAAACTTTCCTCACAGTTTTGTCCTTTCAGTTCCAGATTTTCTTGTGATTAATTGCTTAATAATAGAATTTTCTACAGTATAACTATGCTTGCAGTTATTGCCATTTCTTTCTGCCTCCATTAGTCCACTTCCAAATACTTTATAAAGACAAATATAGGAATGTTGCACACAGGTGTCAGGAAACATTGCATTCAGAGAAGATCTAATTAAGATATATTTATGGGGGTTTTGTGCATTGGGTACAGAAAAGCATAATGTTTCCTGCCTCATTTATAAAAATGATTTTGTTTCTTCAATTTCCTTAGGGAAAAATGATAATTCATTAAAAACTCAAATTTAGTTTCTTGGCCACAATTCGGAAATGGTTTCCCTTTTTCTGGAATATATTTGTCTTCTCAAACAAGAATGGTATTTCCTGACAGTCCCAACAGCAGAATCGGATAGAGTCAAATGGAAGGGATTAGCTTTTGGTGAAACTTAGAGAATTTCATGCTAAATATTTCCTCAGAATAAGAAAAATAAATCTCATGTTCAAGAATAGAAGTAAGGACATTGGGCTGATCTGATCATTCCTCGTAGCATTTTTATGAGTTGTACAAACTTTAAGGCCATTCCATGAGAAACAAGGCATACTGTAGCCTGTCATAAAATAGTTGTGATTGGGAAGAAAAATCTCTGTTCTGAAAAATGGGGAGTGGGCTTAAAATTAGCTTGAAATGTAAAGAAGCAGCACATTGGAAAAACAATGCAGTGAGATAATTTTTGCATTTTTCCAAAGTGAACTATTATGGGAAATGATCCTATTAATATTAGCACACATGTTTTCTTTCATTTTCTACAAAGTCTGCATAAATAAAGTCCATAAATGTAGAGCGTTTATGATTGGTATTGGGCACAATGAGTTAGCAAATTCTTATAAACAACCACTTGCCAAAAAGTGCTTACAAAATTGAAGAGAAGCAGGGAGAAATAAATTATATTTCCAGCTGCAAATGGCTTTGCCAATAACATTTCAATCAAGCCTGTTCCTTGGTGCTTTTATACCAGTTAGGATTTACATCTAGATAAATATTTACCTCTATTCTTCCTATAATAGAACTCTCATAGCAAGCAGCAGTCCCCAGGAACTATACTGGGTGTGCAGTTCACTAAATACCACAGTTGGAAGAATTGCAAAATCTAAGAATTTTTATCCTTACCAGAACTGAAAAGTGACTATACTGGGGACAAATGAAATATTGAGGGCATAGACGTTAACCTTTGTTGCAAATCATGTTAATTATGATTCAGAACTTAATCATGATTCTTGTTTGATCATGTCCCCAGACACTCTATGGCAGGGGTGTCCAAACTTTTGGAAGGAGGGCCAGATTTCATGAGGTGAAAGTGTGTGGGGGCCAACCATTCAGCCTGACATTCTTTGAACCATTAACATTAAATGGGAAAAATGCCGGCCAGCGGGGACGAGTGACAGGCTGAGCCGGAAGGGAGAAGAACAGGGGTAGGATTCAACCAGTTCTGTCTACTTCTGTAGAACCGGTTGCTCTGAAAAGCAGCAAACAGAGAGCATACATAGAACTAGTTCTATATCTGCTGCTGTTTTGGCCCACCCGCCTGCCCGGCCTCTTAGCTGACCTTTATTTCCTACGTTTTCAGCTGCAGCTGTTTTGCGCGACACAGCTGCAGTTGAAAAGGCAGGAAAAAAGGGGCTTTTTCAACAGCTGTGTACCCACGCGCAGTGCTGCTCAGCTGTTTAGGCAGCTAGATGACGATATACACACGTGCACAAAATGTAAATCACCGAACCGGTAGTTACACCGGTCGCATCCCACCACTGGAGAAGAGGCCACAGGCTGC